TTTATGACATGCTAAGGTGCTCAAAAAAGAGTGAGGGAAGAGTTTAAGAACTATTGAGATACTTGGAAAGGAGTTAGAAAATAGTTTAGGAGATTTTGAGATACTCGGAAAGGCTTTTGGAAATGGTTTAGGACATTCTAAGATACTCAGTAAGAAGTTAGGAATGAATGTAGGAAACGCTTCGATAACCATTATAAGCGTTGCCTAAACCATTTCTGGGTATCTAAAGATCTTCTGAACTCCTTTTTAAAACCTCTTGAGTATCTCAGCGTCTCCTAAACCGTTTCCTAACTTCTTTTTGAGTATCTTAATATCTTCTAAACCCTTTCCTGGCTTCTTTCTGGGTATCTGCAAATCTTCTAAACGGTTTTATAAATTCCTTCTGGGTATAGCAATATCTTCCATACCCTTTCCTAAACCCTTTTAAAGGGTTTATTGAAGAGTTTATTGTTTTCCTAAACCCTTTGAAAGGGTTTATCGAAGGGTTTATTATTTTCCTAAACTCTTTCAAAGGGTTTATTATTTTTCTAAATCCTTTTGAAGGGTTTATTATTTTCCCAAACCCTTTTAAAGGGTTTATCAAAGGGTTTATGATTTTCCTAAACCCTTAAAAGGGTTGTTGAAAGTGTAACGTATAATAAACCCTTAAAGGGTTTATGAACTTCCTAAACCCTTTCCTAAACCCTTTGAAAGGGTATATTAAAGGGTTTATGAATTTCCTAAACCCTTTATTAAACCCTTAAAAAGGGTTTAGGAAAATTTTACATATGGTAAAAAGGGTTTATTATACGTTACACTTTCATCAACCCTTTTTGGGTTTATTATTCTACGGATTTTTTTTACAGTGTAGTGTCATCACTGGCGGATGAATCACATGACTCGTCATTGACTTCGTTATTTCCATAGAATTCCATTCGTTTAGTTTTAATTGTAAAAACTTTATAAAGAAGTCAAGAATTCAATTTCGAAAGGGAAATTGTATGCTTTGAAAATTCAACAAACGCCGTAAGTTTATCAATGAGAACAGGAGTATATATACCCAATAGAGGATGAGAATATTCTCGAAAAATAAGATCAGAAGAGAAGAGAGAAATTATGACGTCACTGTACCTTAGCAACAAGGACAAAGGATATTTGAAAAGAATTTATATGAGAGAAGGAAAGAAAGAAAAGAAAAGTATAAGATGACAAATACGGTTGTTTATGATCGTAATGACCTTACATATTTAATAGTTTACTGTGAACTAAACACTTTTTTCTCTACTGAAAAATAGGTGGGACATGGTATGTCTCACCGTCATCAAAGGGTTAATCTGGTTGTTAATTGAATATGAGCATTTACATTAAAAAAGGGTTAACGTTTGCAATAGGCTATCGAAATTAGTTTGAGTCAGTCAATTTTATGAAGGTGATCAGAGCATAGTTAAAATGAAAGAAAATTCGAACTTTAAGCAAGAAAGAATATTACTTTCAAGGATTGAACGAAGTAGGATTTTTGGAAAAAAAATATGAATCAATTTATTTGGAGCTATAAGATGAGCTAGTGCTAAGAATATTGAAAGTGAAAGATGTATTCAGTGGGTTTTACGGTGCAAAGCTCTTTGACATTCCTTCTTAAAAGAGTATGAGACCTGAACTGTAATGGATGAGCTTCACTCATATTCTAGTATCATAGAATAGTCTCCTTTCACGAGTTGTAAAAACAAAATATCACCTTACTGATGATGAGCTACACAACAGTATTTACGCAAAACCTTTAAAGAGTAAAATTCCTGAACAAGAAAAATTTTTCTCACGATAGAGCAAACAGCATCACTGGTACTAGAAGAGCATCTCTACAACCATAAAATCATTCTAGGATTTATGTACAATAATTTTCGAAGAGTATTCAATGAGACATCTTCTTGTATCTTACTCACAAAAAAAATCCAATAAATGAATTTTACTCGCAGTAGGAAAGCTTCGTCGATTAGTTTATTTAAAAATTCACTTAAAAAAGCCATAGATGTACCATAAGACTATTCGCTGGAGAAAAACCCAATTGATTTTACATAAGCGGCCTTGATTCTTCTGTATGACTTCATAATGAAGCAACCAATCAGATTCTTTTGGCTTATACAGACAACAGTCGCGTAGTTTTTTTTTGAGTCTTTTTTATTGATTCACCTGGTGAAGATTGGACGAGAAAAGAGAAAGAAAGATGGTTGTCCTTGTATGCTAAAAAACAGTGATTCGATTGCAGTTTTTTATTTGACAACAACAGTGTGTTTTGTGCGCCTAAATATACAAAGGTGAGTATAAAAATAGTGGAAATACGTTAAATCTTCGTCGAGGCTTAGCAGATAAATATCTAAAACATATCCGTTCTAAACGTGGATGTAGTTGTATATGTTGGTGTAGATCTTCTCTTAATAGACATCCACACCCTCAAGATAGAGGGACAAAATTTTTATTGGCGCTTGTGTTCATAGAGTTACATATTTATTGAAAACTTAAGGCATGTATGCCCTTCCTTTTGGTCAGTAGGACCATCTCAGAAATAAGTTTTTGATGAAAATCTCTATTTTATGTCAAGGCTATCTGCAAACATAGAGATTTTGTGTGTACTTAATTTTGCAATAGTGGAAGGACCATCTACGGTGTTCAAATCGATGGTAAAAACAGGTTGAAGTGTCTAGAAACCGGATAGAGAAGAAGCCAACATTAGAAATACCAAGGGTATTAGTAAAATACGTTCTCACCCACTCTGATCGCCGTTTAATTCGAAAATAGTATCAATCGATAGAGCATAAAATTCTCCTTTCATGAGACCCCACTCCAACCCATTTTTTTCGAAAAATCTTAGACAAAGGAATCAAATATCATTTTTATGAGTTCACTCTCACTCAGATCTTAACAAGAGAGATTTTCCGAAGGAAATGGGTCGGAGTGGGGTCTCATGAATAGAGAATTTTATGTTCTATCAATTGATACTATTTTCGAATTAAGCTGCGGTCAGAGTGGGTGAAAGCGTATTTTACTAATATCCCAAATAAAGTTTCATTGAATTCAGTAACATCAATAGACTAGATGGTCTCCATTGCAGTCATCTCTTTTATGCGATGACTTCTAAACGTCTGTAGGCATATTCGGTCTTTATGTCATTTACTAAAGTTAATTAATATTTTATTATGAAATGATGCTTTATTATTTCTATTGGACCATGTGACATTACAATAAAGAAATTTGTTTTTATTCAAGTGACATTTTATGTTCTAAATAATCATTATTGGAAGACTAAAGCACAAAAACTATTATAGTGTGTTTAGAAGTCGTTTAATTTTTTCTTTGAAAAGATAGTCTTTTTAGAACTAATTTTTAATTCTTTTTTTTCGTTCAGATTCTACTCGAATTAGCATCACTGTCTGATCAATCAGATATATTAACAATGCTAACTAAATTACCACCATTGTCAGGTAGGAATTTTTATTACTTGGACTCTTTTGTTTTTCTTCAGTATAAGAAGCTACGATTGTAAATATTTTATGACGAATTACAGAACATCAACGTCGAAAATGATTTGTGATGCAAAGATAATGGGACAAATGTCAATCCTTACGTCTCGTTGATAAATAGGCCATGAAAAGATTTTTTTATTAGTTGAATGAAAATTCGCACATCTATCAAACAGTGTATGGCTTATATTTGTCAGACATTCGTAAATGAAATACGACAACAAAAAATTGAAATACTCTGTAATAATTTTGTAGTTTGTGTGTGAATTCATCAAATACATATTGTAGATGACAATCAATTATTGTTGACTGTTGTTTCACAAAATCTTTTTTTTTTGCTGAGTTCATCTAAAAATACAAATATTTTATGCGAGTGTTTCTCTTTTTTTCATGTCTCATATTTCATTTACAAGTGTCTGACATGTATAAATCATACAGTGTTCAATTGAGGAGAAAATTTTCTAGCAACTGATAAGAAATATATTCTTTTCATGATCTATATATCGAAGAGATTTAGCAATCAACATTTTGTACCATTTTTCTCTATCTCACAAAAAGTGTGGATTCTTTCTAAGAGTGTTTCTCTCTTCTATCCTGTCATTTCTTTTAGGAACGTGTTACAAAAATAAGTTATATACGATTCGAAAGAGAACAAAAGCCTCTATTTTTTCTTCTGGTATCCTATCATCGAAGAGAAATAAGATCCGACATTGGTCCCATTAGTTTTGCATCATACGTTAGTTATAATTAACAGAAAGAACAGCACGGCTTGTCCAAACGTAAGGCTGTTACGTTTTTGACACACTTCTCTTTAATTATCTCGGAAATTTTAAGAACGAGAAAGTTCGTTCAAGCGCTATTCGACACAGCTTATCGAACTCTATCAATCATATAAAAATCACCTTTTTCGACTGAAGTCTCAGGTGTATAGAAAGAATTTATCATCGCGTAACGCTGTTACATAAAAACACCCTTTTTCTCCAGTGTTTCAGAAAAAACTGAAATTTCTTGTGAAAGTATTTCTTCAAATGAAACATTTCTAGAGTCAGTTTTGTAGAGCTTTGAACGGGCTTTCAAATGCTAAAAAAGTTTTCTCTCGACTAGTTTTGCTTAGATGAAAAATGCAAAAAAGACACAACGCTGCGACACAGTTTTTTCTCGACTAATTCTGAGGCACTTAACATGGTTAGAATGATTTGATTTTTCTAAGTGTTAGTCTCTTCTATATAACTAATCGTTCTACGCAAGAGCGAGGTCGATACATCGAGATGGAAGCTCACAAGATGCGCAGTATGTTGAAAACTTTGTAAGAGCCTACGAATTGTCCAAAGCCACGAAAGTCAAAACTAAATATGCCATCTTGTAGAGAATTAAACTCTGCATCAAATGGTATGTCTCTCGGCTTTTTTTGCAAAAACTTTTTTTACAAGAAAATTTAAAATACGATTTTTAAAGCGTTTAAAACCTATTTTGCGATGCAAAAACCTAACTTTTTTCAGAAAATAAATGTCAAATTCGTGTTCAGCGTTGAAAACTGTATCTAGTAATCTATTCAAATCTGTTGAGCTCCAAAAAAATATTTTTTCGAAACTTGATCACCGAAGTGTCACGTTACGTGGACAAGCCGAGCAACATTGTATTTTAGCTAATGAATCTGCATCAAAAATTCAAGCTGCATTTCGTCATCATCAAGCTCAACTTAAATTAAAAAATCAAGTAGCATGGCAAATACATGAAAAACTTGAATATTCTAGTGAACAAACTG